AATACGAATACGAATACGAATACTAACAACAAATTTTATTATAACAATACTCAAAATCACAATAACATTAACAATGAACCAAGTCCTGCTGGGATCTAACGGGGTTCAGGGTTCAGGGTCTCAATCCATCCCACAATACCGGTACCAAGTAATATGCTCGTAGTGGCTATAGTTGTGTTGCTACCGCCAGTTACTGCTGCGAGCGTAGCACGTCGGGTCGTGTTGTTGCGTAAGTCAAGCCGCTTTGATGTGCTCCCACTCGTATCTACCGTCTCGATGCATATTTCTATTCTGCCGCAGATCAAGGGGGTGGAATTCGAATATCAGCCCTGCAGTCATGCCGTCCAGCATGCAGAGTCATTGGACCGCTGAAACCCCAAAATAGAAACAGATCTCGGAAAGGTTATGGGTATTGAGGAAAGCGGGAGAACTAGCCAGATTTCAAGCTCTGAGCTTACAGGGATGTATGCGCAGTGTGGCATGCCGTTGCTGGAGTGTCTAACTAGTTCCAGCAAAACCAGAAGATATAGAGGCGACTACAGATTTGTAATGTCTTTCTAAGTATTCTCAGCTGCAGGTTCATGTTCTGCGTCCCGCCTGCAGCCTACTCAAGACAGTAATCAGGGATCTACATGATTCCCCGTTAGTTAATGTACCCCAAAACGGAAGTCAGACAATGAAACCCTACGGGGAATCCTGCACCGAGTTTCTTTTGGGTTGCTGTCAAAGGGTCACCCAAACCAAACACCCTAAACCCTAAACCTCAATCCAAACCCTAAACCCTAATAAACCCAAACCCTGAACCCTAGAACCAAAACCCAAACCATGAATCTCTGGAACTTTTCAGCCCTAAGCTCTAAAGACTTGAAACAAACTAGGATCCTCACTGCCTTACAAACAAAAAGTACTAGTCTCCAAGCGCAAAGGCACTTCATGATTGAGTTAGCAGTCCCGATCCGACTGAACACGCAGGGTTTGAGGTTTACAGTTTGGGAGTTTAGGGTCTTAAGAGGCTCACAAGACATCTACAGCTCCTCCCTCCTGCATTTAGGGTTGCGGGTTCCGGATGCCTAAACCCTGAGCTTCCGGACCCAAGCACGCAAGCCGAGAAGCGCAATATAGGTTCCATAATAAGTAGAATAGGTTCTGGGGGAGCATACTATCTTCTATACAACCATAATAAGGATCCACAAAGCAGTATGGAAAATATTTGGGCCCCCCATATATCCCCATAACATGAATCTAAAGAAGTTCCCGATAGCACACCCGAAAGGCAAGTACCCACCACACCCGAGTGTCCTCATGTTTCGCAACCACAGCCACGCCACCTTCTCGCCTTGTTTGGCTCGTTAATGTAGGGGCCCTAATAATTTCAATAGGGTTTTGGGATATATTGTGCTTCAATTATAATTAGGAACCCTCACAGTAGTATGAGTGATTATTAAGGCCCCTATATTATTAGGCTGATGCAGAGTTTGTGGCTGAGGGTGTGCGCGGTTGCAGTCACAGAAAACTTATCCAGCTCATCCTGTCGTAGAGGCTTGTGCCGAAACTGTTGAAAGAGTGTGTCGAGTGTGTCCCATGTTATGCAGGGCTTAAGGTTGAGGGTTCAGGCTTGACGGAGTCGCGGGTCGTACTATTCCGGGTTGAAGGAAAGGTAGGGTCGAGGGTATGGGGTTTAGGAATTGAGGGTTTAACGCTTGAAATGATAGGCGGGATGAATACTTCGCAAAATACTTCTGCCTATAGAGCTCTAGCACAGATATCAAGAATCAGAAAGAGGCCCTAACTGTCGAGGACCCTACAAACACCGATGAAGAAGCAGAAACAATTCAAGCTCCACGACATCATTCGATCGTAGGGTTGCTACAGAGCCGAGGGCTCAATACTAAACACCGAATCATATATCATTATATATTCCCTACAGCCTTACAGTAAAGCCTCAACTCCCAACCGCGAAGCCCTCAGCCTCTAAACGTATAAGGAGATCGAGAGAGGTTCAGGCTCAGGAGTCTTTTCGCGCTACTCCTGTTAGCAGGCACACAAACTCTGCATCTTCGGGAGATCCCTTCAACAAAAGCACAGAGCCTAGAATCACTGCAAACCCAAGGACGATCATAAGGAGAGTCTGCTTTAACTAAATCATAACAAAGCCTTATGAAACTTGGGGGAAGAACCCTGCAAGTCTAGACTCGACAGGGGTTGCGCGAAGAACTACTAACTCGACGAGCAGACATGAGGCTGCGGACGCTAACTGGTATGTGGGTAGCTCTCGAAATTAGGGTCCCTTTCAGGGTTTTTAAGGGGATCTATAAGCGTTTCTATGAGTTTCTTATAGGGTACTATAAGGGAACTATCCGTGTGCTTTGGAAACTGTGGGCTCCTTCTTCGTGGGGGTTTCTTGCTTGGCACTTTTCGGGTCCATGGGTTTCGAGTCTAGGGTTCAAGTAACTGGAATCCGATGCTTCAACCCTGAAGACGTACACAGGCTGGGGGGTAAAGTGAAGCGCAAAGGGCTCAGGGTTGAGCGGTAGGGGATGGTAGGGATTAGGGTTTTAAACCTGACGTAAAACTTCGAACAAGTAAGGCGAAACCGCAGAATCTTAACACCCAGACTTCCGGCGCTCCAGTACCCCAGAGAAAGGAGAGAGCCACTCTCAAACAGTAAATACCACAGCCCTCAACCCTAAACTCCGAAACCACAGCCGGACTACCGAAGGACCATGCCCACTGGTACCTCCAAGATGACAGTGTCAGAGTAGAAGGGACCCCAAGAATTGTAAACCTCAAAGTGTCGGATCCTCAGAATGAGAACCGCCACCGAAAAGAGACGCCTCATGGGAAGAAGCCCTTGAGTAAACTTGGGCACAGCACGTTCTTTCCGCGTTCTGGACCAGACGAGCTCGAAGTTGTCCGGGCCGCAATAATTTTGAGTCACTGCGACGGTGTCCTGGTGGTTTCTAGCCCCTCTTCATGCAGTCTGGGGATGCAGATTCAGGACTGGGGTCATGTTGTGCAATGACATTGAAGGACTCCAGACATGAAGCTGGTGTCAGGGTTTAGGGCTTACTTCGATTTGTCGGGTGGGGCGTTTTGTCAAGGCCTAAGGTGCAGGGTCTGTTGGGCGTTAACGAGAATGGGAATTGTTCACGCGAAAAAAGCTGGCAGAATTTTCGGATAGCCGAATGCAGTAAGCTCATCCATTGCAAGCCCACAGTTTAGTACACTTTACCCAAGGCAGCGAAAAGATACCTATCTCGGCACGGCAATAGCCATCGCGCAAGATAGCCCGAAGTAAAAGCTCCAAGTCGTGAAGAGGTACTCTTCCCCAAACCCTTAGCCCAACATAAACCCAAAACCCTACACCCTTAATCCCTCACCCCCAAAATGAACACAGGTTTGGGATCGTCTCGGTCTACGAGGCTCCAGCAGCAGGGGTGTTTATGCCCTCTTCCAAACCCGACAGCATTGCTCCCAACAAAAAGAGCGCGCTCGCAGTAATGAAAGGATAATAAAGGAACAATGTCGATTCCCTAATAATTACACATGCGATTCAGGAGGCCTCCATATTCTATTTCTTAAGGCCCCTACCTATGGTCTCCATGGTAGCTCCCTGTTTTGAGACTGTAGGTATATTGAACAAACACTCATCTGTGATGCCTCCAAGTTGAGGACGCCATGCCACCAGTCACCAGGGACGAAGATCACCTGGCCGGCTGCTCCAACGGCTCAGGCTTCAGCTATGGAGTGAGTGTGTGTGTGTGTGGGTTTTGAGTTAGGGTTGGAGTTATTTTACTTGGGGTTTCAAAAGGGCTCTGAATGTAGAACCCTGCTGAAGGGGTTCATTAATCAGTGGTTTACTTTATCCGAATGTCCACCATGATAGCTCGGACAGGCGCGGTGCTTCAGTTCTCGGGCTTACAGGGCTGCGGATTTCGTTTCACGGTTGGAAGAAAGCTTTGGGCTTAAGCATTCGCGGTTTGGTCATTTGTCTCAATTCGGGGGGCAGTGTAAAAGAGCACTACAGACCCTGAATCCTCTTTCTTTGGGCCTTGGTCAGAGAAAAGCTCTGTTTGGTTGATAGCCCTGCATCCCTGGAGGACCTTTGCCCTAGCAAAACCCTGCAAAGCCCCACCACCCCCCCCCNNAAAAAAAAAAAAAAAAAAACTCATCAGGCTTTGGACCAGCCCCAAGCTTAGAATTCAGAAGCACGAGCCCGAAAGATGACAGCTACAAGTTTTCCATCGGTCCCCTAGATTCCGTAGACCCTGAGGATCGATGCTTCGGCCAACTCAATGCTCGCTTCTCGTTCATCAAGGTCTGCAAAACCATCTCTTCATGCTCAAGTCGTTGCAACGCCAACATCTGTTGCAACTCTTGCTCCTGCACTTGAAGCTGATAAAGCTCCCGAGCCATTTCCAAATCCTGAGACTCCTGTCGAGCCTTCGAATCAAGCTCCTCTTGAGGGCCGGTTTCAGGCATTCTGGAATTCTAGAATCATCGACCGGGACATCCTTCCGGTGGCAAGGGCTGGACCTGATCCAGCGAATATCTGCCCAGAAGGCCACAAATCAAGCATTCGTTGCCGTACCGTCTCTCCTTAACCGTGTGATGCAATCCCTTCGCATCTACCGTAGCCTATACGGCCTCTTTGAGTCCTAAATTGGGAGGGGTTCCTATTCTCACAACTGCTAAACGAATAAGTTATGATTTAGTTTACAGTTTCCAGTGGATTTACATTTACAGTCCATGCGGGGTTGAGGCTAGAGCAGCTAGAGCTTAGACTTATAATCAAGGTCTGCGACAAAGGAGGCCGAAATCGATGGACAGTACATGGGGTCTTCAGAATGCCACTAGGGATTTAGCGGTATATGCTACAAGAGGCATACTCCCAAGTGGGGAGAAGCCTAAGGCGGCCTAAGGAATGCCACTCCTTGTCATTCAGGCCGCTACATAGCCCAAAACCATCCGAAGCCCCTACAGTCCTAAAGCCCTCAAGCCCGCAGTAGACCCCCCCTATAAAAACACAAACACACACACACACACACACACACACAAGAGAACGAAACCTCCAACCATTGTTGCATAGTCCTGGCTTTCGGGCTCAGGTGTAGGATGTGTAGGAGTTTTTTCATGTTTTCGGGTTCCACAACAGTTTGCACCTCAGAAGCTCCTTTGAATTTGAACAAAGCCTTGCTCAGGATTCAGCTGGTCTTCCTGGACGAGTACAGGCATACGGAGCAGAGATTCCGCAAGCTGCAGCCCGGTGTAGAAGTCTGTGAGTATTTAAAAGGTAGCCTCTTATCGCCATTATAGAATCACAGAATAAATCTGATACAATCTAGCCGCCCCAAACTCCGCTCCACTTCTCAAAGCCCCTACATGACACCGCCTCACCAGGCTTCTGCAGGCCCTCATAGACTTTCAGGTCCGGGTAGGCTTTCTTGATCTGCAGCACGTGGAAAGCGTCAGGTCGTTAGGGGTTTAAGGAGAAGAGGCCCAGGGAGGTTTTGGGGAGCAGTGCGTCATGGACCAGGGCCGAGAATGGCCCCCACCACATGTGACCCATCAGCGGCATAATCAACAAGCCACAAAGGCACAGTCACGTAACGGGCCTCGTGATGTTGATGAAAAGTACTAGCATGAATCTACCTGCAACCACTTAGGCAGGATTTCGGGCTTGTTCAATCTCTGCAGCTCCTCGGAACACATTCTGAACCTCAAACCGTCGTTGGAGTATCATGCGTACTTCTACGATAACTTTTCGGTAATGACCTCTGAGCAGACATGTAAAGCAATCGTCGCACAGCATGCAAGCAAGGTGACCCGCAACAATGCGACTTGACAACTACGGTGCAACCTAGCCGCCTAGCCTTCTACTTGTGCGCTGCAACTACTTTGATAGAGAGCAGCTTCAACCTTCTGCAGGTTTAACACCTTCTGCAGGTTTAACAAGCAAAACTAAGCAAATTCTGGCAGCTCGGAGCAGTTTGTTTTGCTGGACGACTCACGAAATACCGGTATGCGTTCTTCGGGTTCCTGTATCTGTTTTGCCTATAGATGTCTTTTGACGATGAAGGTAGGCTTGGGGGCTACAGGTAGGGTTAGGAGAGAGGTTTAGGGATAGGGCCAACAGCAACAGCATTTCCGAGCAACACTTCCAAAATCAAGACTTCATCGACAATGGGAAACCGACAAAAAAGATAGGCTAGCCTGTGCAAGAAATCAGCAACAATGTGGGTAAGTAGTGGCAGCCGTAGAAGCAAGCATCTATGTGCATATCTACGCATGGGGATAATTATGCTCATGCAGAACCTTAGTAGCACGCATCCGGACATCCCCGAACCCAAACCAAAACCCACCCAGGTGCAGGCGCGCCCTTGGAAGGATGTAGTCGAAGTACATGATCGCCTGCATTTGGTTCCGTTTGATGTATTGAGTGGCTCTTCCCTCCCGTGATCGAGGGGTTAATTAAGTTCTATGGTTTCTTGTGCTGAGGCCTTCAAGGTTCATATTGGCCCAGAAGAAAAGCCAATTTATAGCAGCTTGGGGGAACCAAAAGCGGACTGGTGCCGCGAGGCTCGCGCAGTTCTCAAACATCGTGGAAACCACCATCGTTGGGATCTGATGTTATGATATGAGAAACCCTGCAGCAGGGATGCTTTCGACAAACCCTGAAGCCTGCCCCGGACTTCCCTGCAGATCTGGCGACGAAGGAGAAGAAGCTGCTCTTGCGCAGGCCTCTACAGCTGTCTTCCCTACGAGTATCCAGGATCCTCAAGTACCTTCGCCCGAAGCCCTTGATAGGCTTCAAGGGTTGCATTACGTGAATCCCAAACCGCTGAGGCAGCGGGAGTGGGCGATGGCGCCGACGACGACTGCGACTACTGCGACCATGGCCCAAGCCCGAAATCTTGAACCCTGAACTGGGAAATCGTAGACCGTTAACCCATCCGCAAACCGTGCTGGGACTCGGGCCTCATCGTCTTCGTCCTCCTTCAGCAGATCTTTGCCTGTCGCTTGCGAAGATGGGGATTTCGGTTTCGGGTTAGGGCTTTCGGTATGCCAGCTTGAGACTTGAGCTAAAGCTATCTATAACCACCCTGGGGCCAGTCATATACTGAACTTCCCCTCAGGGTTATACCATTATAGTTAAAAGGGAAATGAATTCCTATGCGAAACCCAGGTCAAGGGTAGCAGGGGAACCACGGCTGATGATCCTGGGGTCTCAACTATTTCAGGCACTGTAACATGCTACTCCCCAATTCTTCAGGCCCCATGCGGCGGCAAGGCGCCCCACATCACGGCCATGCACGGCAGGGCAGCGTCTCACTGCCCTTTGGTCTTCGGGGATTTCACTGCCCTCTGGGCTTCGGGATTTCGTCCGCGAAATGGTGCAGCTTGCAGCTTGTACTGGCTCTCTGCTGATGTGCCACGGCATGTCTGACCAGACTGCGGGGGCTTGCCGAGAAGGACGGTCGCAGCGCTTGACCCCCAAACTAGGGGTCCAGTGCCATGTCGGAAAGTATGGGCAATGAAGTCCAACTACGTTCATACATGGGCAGCACTCAAGACTCTAGCTACTACAAGCCACGAACCCCACGTGATCAGGGGCTTCAGTTGAGAAGCTAATAAAATACTCTCTCTACTTCCGTTCGACAGTAAGCAGAAAATCATACCAAAGCCCCCCAAAAAGGAAAACACCAGGCCAGTAAATAGGATACCCTTTCCATGGCTCGAGATCGGGGTGTGGAGTTCCGGTTCTTCCGACTAAGGTGGCCCCTGAAGTGCATAAGGAGCCCCGAACCCTAAGCCTAAACCCACAAAATGGCAAAAGGCTCCTGCTGCAAGGCGGCTGTCTCTTGTTTGTGCCATTGCAGTCATGCTCAGAACAGGGGAGCAATAGGAATCATTAAGGTTGAGCAAAAGGGTGTTTGGCACGCTGCTTTCAACCATGTACGAACCTCAAAAGTACCCTAACCCTAAGAAGGAAACGCTGATCACACACTTCACTCGAAACAGCCAAGACACGTTCGGAAGCTGTCGGGCTGTCAACGTTCAATGTTGACTGACAGTCTGAACACAAGACTTCCTATGTGGATCCTCTTCAGCGCGATGAACGCTTGTAAGGTCCGGCTCTTGCTACCATTATGGAGGCTGCTCCTGAAGTCTATTTAGTTTCTCGGACGATGTATACTTGCATAATCTTATGCCCAAGACGTTGGCATCCTGAACCCTAAAACTCCAAGGAACCCTGGCAGTGGGCCTTCGTAAGCTGTCATGAGGATCTTAACTTGGGGTTCCCTTTAACTTAAGGGTTCCTTTGAAGGTAACCGTCGCTATGACAGTAACCTGTAGACAACAGGTTTTAAGACAGAACATCATAAAGAAAGCCCCAACGACCCTAAGTCCTGAACAGCAAGTCCTAAACCAAATCCGCAAGTCCAAACCCTACACCTCCAAACCCTAAACTGCTTGACCAAAGGCACCTTTGACCCTCTTCTTGGTTTCGTGGGGCTCGAAAAGCACCTTGTTGAGGCTTGGTATGAAGCCTCTATAATTCGAATGGGGCTCCTTTAGAGGAGTCCTGTAAAGGGTTTCTATACGGGCTATGAAGAAGGGGGCCTTGAGAATTGAAAAGGGCTTGGGGCATATGCTAGACACAGAACCATGAACGCTTAGGGAAGCGTTGCTCGGGCATCTCCATTGACAATAGAATCCATGAAGTGTTGGTTCTCAAGCTACGCTTAAGATTCAAACTTTCAGGGTTTTGGCTTTCAGTTTTTCAACAGAAAATCCGTGAACATCTGCAAATTCTATACTCATCATCGAACATCTTGATCAAGAAAGACCTTGAGTTTTATGGTTAGCCAGTTAAACCTCTACAAGTACCGTATAGAACAACAAATATACCAGCACACCTTAAACGACCTTGTGCCCACTAATGCATGCGGCGACCCGCCCGACGGGCCCTGGCCTGTCTTGAACTCCGCTACATAATGACGGCTCCCTAACGTCTATATACATGCCAATATCTCTGGTACTTGACGTCCTTCCAACTGATGGCATGTTTGTCGACTAGAAGCGACAGTTGAGAAACTTCTGGGGCACTCCTCTCCATTCCTGTGACTTTTCGGCTAGCTGCTAGCTGATGTGTCAGGACCGCGAAAATATGGCAGGGCAGAGTAGACCTGGTTTGCGACAGCCAGCCGCAAATCGCACACATTGATTCATGATTGCACGGCTCCAACCCACAACCTACATGCAGAGCATATCTGTATATACATATATGTATGTGTATGCATACGTGTATGTGAAGAAACCTATATATATATATATATATACGTATTTACATATGTATATATGTTTGCATACATACATACATACATACATACATACATACATACATACTTACATACATACTTACATATCTATACATACAGACACACACACACCCCCCACACACACACACACGAACAATGCAAGTAGAACAACAACATACACGAAGCAACAATAAACATTCCATGAAACGGTTCAATCAAAATGCAATTGTCGTGTCCATGCAATGCCCCCAAGGGTTCGCAAGGCTGTGGAACTATGTGGACGTGTTCCAGACTATGATCCCCTCTAAACTTTTTGCTGCAGTTAGCTGTGAGCGGCAGAACATGCAAGGGCAAGCACGTATGAAGGAATTCAAGGTCTATGATTCTGGGACTCGGGTGGACTTAACCAGACTTCGGCTGAAGGTGTCGGCATTCCCGCAGTCAGTGTCGATGGACCTATGTACCTTTGTGAAACAACCTGCCCTTTGCTACGACATTCTTGAGCAGTGTTTTATCCACACGTGCTGCTCCACATTTTCCTACAGTTGGTACGGTTCTAGAAGGAGCACTTGCTGCTATCTGGTTTAGCTTCTCGGTTTAGAAATTCAGAAAGCCGTGTTCCAGAAGAAGTTGATGGGACACAAGATGTTGTGGTTTCAGAGAGCCATGCATCGAGCCAGGAATCCTTCGCAAGGGCAACGCCGTATTCATATACCCTTCGGCGCAATCCGCAACCAGCACGAAAGGTAGAGTTGGAGCTGCGGCCTTGTCAACAGCTGCGCTGCACATATGCCATGAGACGGAAAAGACGCCGCGTGAAGTCCACCAACTCCGCGGACATGCCAACCGAAAAAAAACAGCAAGATGTTTCGTATTTCATGGTGTCAACAGGCTCGGCAAACATGCAAGTCGCAGCAAATTTTTGGCGGCAGAGGCCTGGCAGGTGGTTACCAGTTCATAAACCGGGCGCGAGGACGATTATGGCTTCCTTGAGGAGAGGTCGGGCAGAACCATCATTGCATGTGTTTGTGTGAAAGGAGTCCTTCGGTGGGGACGATCAATGTTTTGGTGTCTGGGGACGGAGGGACCATCACTTTTATTGTGGTCAGGGGCTGTGAAGAGAAGGCCATCATGTAGTCTATGTCGTGGGGCGCCGGGCGGAGGACCAATTAACTCTTTCTGCTTTGATCGCGAGAAGTCCGTAGTTAGTGTTAGCACACCGTTTCGGGAATATTTTTTAATAGAGTGCACCACAAAACCCTATTCAAGCCATGAAGGCTCCTATATAAAACCTCTACTCAGCCCTGTCAACTTAGACTTGTAGGTTCGAAGTTCACCGTCAAGGATAGCTTCAACATCACTAGACCCTAAACCCTATAAACCCTAAAACCTAAACTCTGAATCTTATAAACCCTATACCCTAAACTCTAAATCCTAAACCCTTTTTACCCTGCAAACCCTAAACCGTAAACCCTAAACCCTAAACCCTATACCCTAAACCCTAAACCCTCCATCAGAAGCCCATGGTCTGCAAATTCCACAAATAATCCCAAACCAAACCCGAGCAAAACACCCGGGAAAGTGAAGCAAACACCCTATTCCCTGGGTTGAAGGTTTGGGGTTTAGGGTCTATAGGGCTTATAGGGTTTAGGGTTTACTTCGACAAAACCCTAAACCCTCAAAGCACCCTCATACCCCCGCCTGGCTCTGTTTTGGCTAAACTTTTGCTGAAACCTCAACCCGAAAACCCGCATGGCAAACCTCGAAGCCCGAGATCTTAATTAGAAACCTTTACCCCTAAACCCGGCGACTGAAATGGAAACGGAATTTCCGCAACCAAGCATGCTCCGGACCAAAAACCCCCTGGCAGAAGCCGAATACAATCGTAGAACCCTTCACGCAACTCCGAACCCTTAAATCTAAACCCTATAAGCCCTAAAGTGCAAGCCCTATAAACCCTATAAGCGCTAAACCCCAAACCCCATAAGCCCTAAATCTAAACCCTGCACCGCTCTCAGTCTGCCAATGCGGGCACCCATCGCTTGGTCCCGTGAGTGACAGCATTCCACGCCGCCGTGCCAAGGGGATCAATGTGGACCTGTGCCGTTTAGGGTTGAGGGTATAGGTTATAGGATGTTATAGGGTTTGTTTGAAGAGGTCTAGGCTTTACAGTTTAGGGATGTTTAGGGTATGCTCTACGGCTTAAGAACTTCAGGTTTACTGTTGTAGACTACACTGCTACATGCATACATACATGCATCGAGTCTTTATAGCTTTCGCTTCGTATTTGCCTTTCGGTGGCCGAACTTTGCTTTCGTTATTCTTTGTCAGCATGACGGTAGTACTCAACTCCGAAAGTTATTTAGAAACGAAACAGGTCAACGACTAACATGTATACAAACTGGTGCATGTATCTACCTATACATTAATATGTATATGAGCATCTGCAGAGACATGTGCAACCTTATGCCTGTGTTCATGGTCGTTCGTAAAAACCGCAGTAGATGGTTACAGTTACTTTCAGATACAGATACAACCTGTACGTAATATCACAAAACTATAATACGATACTGTAACACTATCGTATTACTATACTGTAGTACTATACTACTATAGTGTTGCAGTATATAGCTGCTTTCAGACCCTGACCGCCAAGCCCAGTTCCAGCAATTCCTGGCCGAGGCATCGACCGTTGTGCCGGAACGCTTTGGGCCAATGCAGAACCACCGAAAGGGAGGCCTGGTGAGGCTGTTTGTCCTAGGTAGGGTTTCGGGCTTAGGGTTTAGTGGTTTATTTTAAATAGGGTTAGGGCCTATTGTTTCAGGGTTTAGGTTTTGGCGGCTCCCTTTTGTAGGGTAGGGTCTTTTAAGGACGTTCTGGCGTTTTATAGCTTTTTATGCTTTCAAAGGGTCCTACACATGGGTCAAATACGGAGTTATCTAAGGTTTTTGAAGTGCTCTACAAGGTGCCAGGCTGGAAGATTTGATTACTCCGGGCATACATTTCCTTAGGTGAGGCTTTAAAATTCCAGTTCTGAGGGTGTCATGGTTGAGGGTACCCTGAACAGCAGACCCAAGCAAAGCTCTCTGGGCATCAAGTGAGAACAAGGAAAGGTGGAGAAAAGGCAACGTGGTTTGAGCGATTGCCAATTTCACGAGCTTGGTTTCTCTATACAGAGTCCCTTGTAGCCTCGATCCCCTCAACCCGAAACCCTCAATCCTAACCCCTAAATCCTAAACCCCTAAACCTGAAACCCTAGACCTCGTTCACAGGGCCCCCTTCTTCTCCACATTGGCTGTCGCGGATTTCAATCCCGGGGGTGGCTCGGTGCAGGCCGATCTGAACGGAAGGGGCATTGGAACCATGGAGAATATGTGAGACAACAATCCCAATCCCAGGGGATCCACATATACTACAGTTATGGATTTAGACACCAAAAGACCATCCTTATTATGGTTTTTGGGACCTAACTCCATAATCGTAGTATTTGTATGGACCCTCTTGGAATTCCTAATAGGGCTCCGAGGTTCCTTCTTCGGTGAGCATACGGTTGATGATATCAATCCTGCATTACCCACAATAAGGAATATACCAGAATTCCCATAGCACTAGGGTCCTTAAGGAAATGCAGGATTTATATCATCAACAGTAGTAGCAAGAGCCCCTGGACTCGATGCTAAGTACTGAAGCCCCTGTTACTTCTCAAACTTCACCTGCCAGTGCCAGCCCTGAAGCCAAGAGCCCTGAACTGAACCCCAAGGCCCCGCCGAGTCCTAAATTCCACCCCTCAATTACAGCCCTGAAGCTTGAACTCAACCTGCAGTCCGAAAACCCATAAACCCTAAAGCCTGAAGCCCTGAACCCTAAGCTTAAGCTGCAGAGTAGATGTGGGTACACTTACATGCCAGAAGCCCAACAAAAGTTGCATTCCAGTCAAGGCCGCATACAGTAAACGGCCAATAAACCCAAAACCCCAACATCCTAAAAGCTTAACACCCTGCTAGGCCCTAGACCCGAAGAGAAGCCCTACAAGACCCTTACAGAACCCGTACAGAAACCTTGCAGAACTCTTAGAGGTCCCTGAAAAGATGCTTCCTTCACGCCCTCAAAAAGTAGATCCCTTCTAGACCCCCTTTATAAAGGGCTCCCTCATAAATCCTCAAACCCTCAACCGCAAACTGCCCTAAACCATAAACCTGGGAGCCGACCCGGGCTCTAAAGCCCCCCAGGGCCAAGCCCAATAAGGTAAGGATATCCTTATAAAATGCTTATGCTTAGGTCCTTTTTTGGGGTTCCTAGCCCCCCAAACCCTGAGCCTCGAGTCGGCGTTGACCAAGGAGAACCAGTCATGCGGAAAGAGGCTTGGGACCTGGAGAGCGGACGACTTTAGGAGCTCAGATTTCTAAAGGGGTTTAGGGTTTATGTAGGGGTTTAGGGTTTAGGATTTAGGGTTTAGGGTTTAGGGTTTAGGCTTCGTGAAAGAGCCTAAAGGGGGTTTAGGGTTTATGTAGGGGTTTAGGGCTTGTAAGAGTTTAGGGTAGAGCTCTTTAGAGGGCTCTTTTAAAGGGCTCTGGAACAGCATCGAGGTTCTTGTTCCTCTTGGATTCTTATTCCTTGAATCGTAGACCCTAAACCCTAAACCCTAAACCTTAATCGTTTACGCCTTCTCACTATCAGGCTTGGAGGGCTCAGGGCTCTAGGGCTCCAGGGTTTTATGGCAATTGTACTCGTTGTTCAAGCTCGGTCTGGGGCTTGAGGGTTCAAGGACATGTTGGTAAGGGCTGCGCATGTTCTAAAGCCTCTCATAGAAAGTCTTGCAAGCTCATTGTGTGTGTGAGAGAGAGAGGGGGAGAGAGAGAGAGAGAGACAGAGAGAGTTCAGAGGTTTCGGGGCCTGGAATTCAAAGCCGGGCTTGGCTTCAGGGCTCCAAACCCCCTGAACGGCCCTAAGCTGAAGCACCCAGAGCCTAAATCCGAAAGCCGGAAACCCAGATCCTCCAGACCCTGAACGGGGTGAGATCGCTTGAACAACTCTAGGCATCCGGGCTTCAGGAACTTCTTAGTGAGATCTCAGAGCCCATAACAGTCCACTACCTACAAGAAGCCCTTAGCCAACTCTGAACCCTCCAAAACAATGCCTGAAGGGTTTCGGCTTAACCGCTTAGGGTGTAGGTTTTACAGAATTTGACAAACACAGCTTTCGGACTGCCTGTACTTCGGGGAAGTTATATGGTTTCAACGGGCCATGTGTGACGTGTTTCTCCTGTGTGGGCTGGGAGCAGCGTGAGCAAGCACTGAGAGATTGCTGGGTTGCTACGCATCTGTCGCGTCACGTCGCTGACCGTAAGATACGGAAAGCAAAGGAATGACCTACTTGATTTATTTCTGCCCTTGGCGGGTCACTAGCACTGTTCCCATCATTGCCTGCAAACATGCCACAACAAACATGCTTCAGCACAACATCTTCTCTACAAGCAAACATGTAACAACATGGTCTAAGAAACATGCTGCTGTCTCTTCGGGCTTTCGTCAGCTGGAACACGGCTCTCGTGAGCATCGTCTGGGTTCGTACGAACTATGCCACAAAGTGTGGGACTTAAATTGTGGCAGATTACAGTATACCCAAAATAGCGACTTGCGGGATATCATTTTAAATCACTCCCAAAGGTTTACAAGTATCACACACCGTCCATGCACCCTATATACAAAGAAACCCAATTTCGATCGCGAGTATGACACTTTTCAGGAATCCACATTATCCATTTTTGCAGACCTCTGAGCCCTAAAGCCTAAACTCAGCCCAAAACCCTAAACCGACGAGAGATCCGAAACCCTACCTTTAAAAGGCCCCGGTTGGCCCTCACCCTGACTCAGTTCGCCTCGTAGTCGTCCATGAGAGGCCTGACATTGGAGTTTCAGAAAATAAGGGACCCTGCTATAGAACCCTAAGTAGTAGGATCCTTATTATAAGGACCCCAATGAGGTACCCTAGTTTTCTGAAATTCCCACATTGGAGTTTCAAGACACATGGGCTTTTTTGGGGGGTTTCATGTGGGCTTTATGGGGCTTCTAGGGTTCTGATACTGATGCCCGTCCATGGTTCGTAAAGTTACTGGTAGGGGTCCTTACCAACAGGTTCCTGCCATTATCGTGTGGGCTTTAGGGTTTAGGGGTGTGTGAGAATATCAGGGCACCTTGCTTACGTAAGGATTCTTATAATGCGGATAGTGCTACTTAAGGTCTATAATAGGCGCCTAAGCCCGAGTCCTTATTTTGCGTATATATCCGGATCCCAAACTCGAAATCACAGAGAAATTGGACTTTACTCCGAACCCAGTCTGAGGACAGTGGCCTTTTAGTTGGCAGGACGGTCATGACGGTCAGAAGTCGGGCAACTGCTTCAAAACGAAAGATTACATTGAACCCCCAAGCACAAGGGCTATTCAACTGCTACAATGCCGCACCTGATGAAGCCATTGTCGTCCATGTCCGTCTCAAAGAGGTACAGAGGATTGTCATCCTCCATTGCGACAAACAGGGCTTTGGTGGGTTATCGCTGTCCTATAGGGTCGTTATAAAGGTATTATTACGGCTGTTGTGGAGTTATCCCTAAACCCTAAACCCCTGAACGCGAGACCCTAGATAGAATAGGGTTTTACAGGCTCTAAGGTTCAGGGTTTAAAGTTTTGCTTAGGGGAGGGCTTCAGGGTTTAGGGTACCTTTTGTTCAGGTTCAGCGTGTACTGCCGTTTGTGTTTCAGGGCTTCGGGTTCAGGCCGAAAGGTGGAAAGCTGAGTAACTAGCAAGAACATCCCCCCAGAAGATTCTCCATATACGTGTTGAATTAACCATACTGTCAGATACCACTGAGAAATAGAGCTTGGGGCTTGCCTGAACCATGACAAGACATTCTTGATGAGGTTTCTGACCATGATGTCACAATACATGTGCTTCAAACGCCGCAAAGTCCTAGGGGCGGGTTTGCTGCAGTCAGGCTTGGGAAAGGGACCCTTTCCCATAGGCACTATTGGGAGGGGGACCGAGCAAGCAAACTTCGATCTGACATCCTCCCGTTTGCGGATTCCTCGGCACCCCAAGCCTTAATACTGTCTATTGGGGCTTTTGCGTATATTCTGGTAGGGGTATACCTGATCCTGAACAAGTGATATTGGTATAGTTAGACGTGGTCTATGGTGCGATACTCGGAGTAATTATTCAGACCTCCTATGACTATATTAAGGAAAAGGCGCAGACCCCGACACAGGCCTTCTGGTGTCTCACATAGTCGGCGAAATACTTAAACCTTGCGCAGAGTTGGAGGGCTTGTCTGAGGAACTCAAGTAAGGTTGCCATAACAGCCTTAAGCCTATAACCCCACAAATGAACCCAAGCACCCGAAAGACTAGCACCTCGGGGCCCGGCATTGGCGGATTTTCGAAACTTTAAACGAGCCAGAGGTAAAGGCCTGAGCCTAGAGGCCGAACTAGTCTGGAAAATTAGGGATTAGGGTTTAGGGTTTAGGGGTTTAGGGGTTTAGAGTTTAGGGTTTAGGGTGCTTTTCCGGTAACCTCACAATAAGGAGGCTACGATGAAGGGTCTATATTGCGAGAATATGAACAGATAAACAGGCTTCTGACCTGAAATAGGGGTCCCTGCACACGACTTCGTCACGCTATCATGTAAGGCTTGTGCTGGAGCTTGCGGACCAGCCGACAGAGCTCTTTTAGGCTTTAGGGCTAGGAATTTTGAATATAGTTTAATATGCATACCGGCATGGATGATTAGCAATAGTTACCAACGTTATTCCTTTCGGGTTCCTTGTGATAATTCTACTGTAGAACAGCCTCAAACCCCATTCTAATTGCTAAGACCTCTAAATTCTGTGAACCTGCGGGCGAATCACCTTCTGAGTCGTCCACTAGCCTTCGGTCACCAAGGCCCTAAACCCTACATTAACCCCAAACCCCCAACCCAAGCCGCAGACCCTCAACACTCTCCATCGATTGTCATAGGGATCGGGTCGGGGTCGAGGGCTTGTAGACAGATTCGGAAGGATGGTAGACCATGAGCCCTTCTACTACTACGACTACTACGACGACTTCTACCACTACGACGACGAATGTTATTGTTATTGCTACTATTATGATTACCACTCACGGCCCTACTGATCTCACTCTGAGTTGTCCGATTTATTCAGACCTCTAAATCGGGGGACCCCTCCCCGGCTCAGATGGCGGCTTCATTCGCAACTTCTTACCGTTGTCATCCTTTGCAACCTGCTTGCAGAGGGTTTGATAAAGATGCGTTTGTGCTTTTGAAGGGTTCTGTAAGGGCTCCTGTGGGAGCTATAGAGATTAAGGTTTGGGGTGTAAAGGCTAAAAACTCTGTTCCAGTAACGGCCGATTTGGTTAGGACACATGCCAGTCTTTGGTTCAAAAACAGGCTCGTACCTTACATAGTGTAGCCTTTGGCTCCAAAATCTCTTATGCGCAAATCTCCTATGCGCCAACCCTTTCAATGGAAAGGATTCATGTTTCACGGGTTGCCTCTAAGCACAGAGCCGTCACTCATGCTCTCCATGATAATTCCTGCTACCGCTGCCTGTAATTAGAACAGGGCTTTGGGGTATTGCGCGTTCTACTACGTGATATCTGCCGTATGAGCAGCAGACTTATATAGGTTTCTCCAAAGGGATCATGATTTTGCCGGTTACCCATATTGGCTTTATGTGCGGGGCTTCATTGCATCGGATCGCGTCTCCCGATCAAGTGCTAGAATGTAGGGCCCCTGCGCCCAAAGCCTTGGGATCAGTTGTCGAAATCAGGATCCCCATTAGGGAGTGATGCTCTCTTTCGCGGGCGAAAAAAAAGGATCATGCTGTACCATGCTTCATACAGAAACTTGAAGAAGATTAGTTTCTGCCGGCGGCCGAGAGGGAGCCAACTCCACAACTATTTCTTTCACTGGTGATTGAGGATTCCATATATCCTCTGAACCCTTAACCCTAAACCGTACTGACTTCGGCTTTCTATGTTCTGCATACAAGTTGAGACCTACAACACGGTAAACATCTTTACACCACCCCACCCCACTTAAATTCAATCCAAACTCCCACAAGACTCTCATCAACCCCGGCAATGCCCCTCCTGGAATCCCACAAATGAGCCACGGACCCCCATTCAAACCCCACAAAAAACGTTGGGGGCTGCAAGGCAAACGCGCCCTACACCCGAATCCCGAAGCCCTGGCCCGAACACCTAAAAGCCCCTATAAACCCCAACGCCCCTGAAACCCCAAAGCCCCCAAAACCCGAAACCCCACGACCCTAAACCCCCAAAATCCTAAACCCCCAAACCCGAAACCCCAAAACCCGCAGTGCTAAACCCCCAAAAACCCCCAAATCCCTGAACCTAAAAAAAACTAAAGCCCCAAAACCCTCCCGTGTTCGCCTTGAAGGAGACATGGCGAAATCGCTCGTCTAGAGCATCCTCGGGCAGCGCTGCTTTGGGGATTGGGGCTTAAGGTTTAGGGTTTAGGGTTTAGTAAGGGTTTGGGGAAGGGCCCAACGAAGGGGTACATGGGGCTAGGATAGAAACACGGGAGGTTCGTACTTTCGCCAGTATATGATTACTGTAAGGGTTTTACAGGCCTTCTACAGGTTCCTGTTGGGGTATGAAAAGTTCTTCTTAAGGCTTATCTGCAAGAGATCCAAGGAATTTGCAAGGGTCTATATAGAGGGGTTTTTAGGGTTTAGGTTTGGGTTTAAAGCGTTTTACACACTCTTTGTTAACAAAGGGTTTTCAGGTTCACGATCGATGGTGTAGCGTTGACTTGGGGTTTGGGTTCTTGGCGGTGCAGAAGTCGGAATATAGTTGACGTGGACAGGGCTTGGGAAAGTCAGCGTGTTTTCTGACATCTTCCTGCTTTCTTGGGGGACAGAACGCCTTCGGGGAGTTGCAACTGACAGATGCCTAAACTTCCGAAGACTTACAACTGAAGCATACAACCTTATGAAACCCCAGATGGAATATAGGGTTTACGGTTTAGGGTTCTGGATGGAAACCCAAATCCGAAACCTTATAGCCCTGAAGCCCGAAACTTCGAAACCTCTCAGTGCGCCACGATGGACCACTTGTCCATGGCCGGCCAGTGACTGCAGCAGTCCTCTCAGGAAGTCAGGGGTTGAGCGGGTTAGAGGGTTAAGGGTTGAGGGTTTAGGATTTAGCGTTTAGGGTTTAGGGTTTAGACTTAGAGTTTGTGGCTGAGGGTTTAGGGTTTAGGGTTTAGAGTTTAGGGTTGAGGGTGTAGGATTTAGAGCTTAGGAAGTTAGGGTCGAGGGTAGGGTTGAGGAACAGTTTCTCTTGCTAAAGGTGGTCTAACGTTTTCTAGCCGTAAACTTGCCGCAAACAACCCGACTAGAACCCTAGAAGAACCCTGAAGCCCTAAACTTCCTAAACTCTGAAATCCTTAAATTTCCAAACCCTAAAACCCTGAACCCTAAACCTTAAGCCCTAAAGCGGTCCTCTACGATGACGGGCTGAGACTTCGAGCCGAACTCCTCGATGAAGCGCTCGGGCGTTATGTCCCGGAACTGGTCGCAGCTGGGTTGTCCAGGTTTCTAGGGTCTTCTGAAGGTGTCCTCTTGGCTTCGATAAGGGTGTAGGGATGTTGAGGGCTTGGTAGTGGCAGGGCTTCTGATCCAGAGGCTTTGGGATTCGGGGTTTAGGCTTTAGCGCTTAGGGCTGTAGCTGCACTTTTCACCCACCTGTCAGCCCCAGAAGCAGATCTCAGGGTCAGGTAGGGCAGCTGGCGAAGAGCTCAGCTTGTAGGATTGCAGCCGAATGGTGGAGAGTCTAGGGGCATTCCGCATTGGATAATATTCGTATTTAGGGTTTCGGGTTACATAAGGGTTTATAGGGTTTAGGGTTACTTGCTACCCAGATCCCCACATTGGCGAGAAAATGCTAGTAGTAAGAAGCAAAGGAACCACGTATATCCAGGTGCCTTCACCCGCCGAATAGGAACCGTCTGGTCATCGTAGACGATCTCCCTCTGCAGGACCTCTTCCTGAATATGTTACACCATCATTGAGAAGTGAATCATATGAAAGAGCCCTCCGCAGTTGAAGAGTGTCTGCCGGAATTGCGGTATGTTGAAAGGTCTTGTTTTCGCTGACCGATGCTTGAAGTCTAGAGTAGGGTTTGGGCAAGTCCTCCAAGTGAATTATGCCTGCTCCGTCATGCCCCCAACGTGGCCTCACCTTGCACATATAAACCCTGACTCATCTAACCCTCAACCCTTGAACCCCGAAACCTAAGCCCTACACCCTAAACCCTGAACCTTAAGGCACTCAACCCCGAACCCCAAACCCTAAATCCTCAAACCCTAAGATACCTCAACCCTAAATTCCGAAATCCCGAATCCCTGAAGCGCCAAACCCTAGAACCCCAAACCCCTAAACCCCTATAGATCCCTGTAAGGAACCCTTTAAGGAGCCCCCGCCTCAGAGAGAAAAACAGAGAGAGAGAGAGAGAGAGAGAGAGGGAGAGGGAGTAAGAGCTTTCCGGTTAGAGAGTTTAGTGGTTGTGGTTCGGGATTTGCACATGACAAACGGCGATGTCTGGTGTGGCACGAATCTTTGGGCCAAGATCTTGCACAGACTACCAGCCTCCAAAGTACCCTTACAGGAACCCTTCGAGGTCCTTCGAGGCATATCCGAACTTGTCCCACTCGTGTGGCTTGATGTCGGTGCGTTTTCCCTGGCTTCGGGGCCCTGGGGTTTCGAGGTTAGCTTACTGGTTTCGGGTTTAGGTCTTAGGGGGGTTTAGGGTCGAGGGTTTAGGGTTTTAAGTTCAGGTTTAGGTTTTAGGGTTTTAAGTTCAGGTTTAGATCTTAGGGTGATGCACCACTTTGAGACGTCAGATATTTGCGAAGCAGGCAGAGGTTCCTTTGTTCCCCTCCGAGCCACCCTTCTCCTGTTCCTACCTTCAGCTACCACAACCCCCTTTTCTTGTAGGAAAAGCCTGAGATAGAACTTTTAGGGGCTCTACCAAAATGACAGGCTTTGGTAGGTTAAGGTACTCCAGAACCTCCTTTTCGTAAGGTAAAACCTATCATCGGGTTAATAGCGGCTCCTTTCTTCTCCTGACCTGACTCACAGTCGTTGGGGCTCCTGATTATGTTTATAGCGTAGTATACCTTGGGGTTCCGTTTTTGTATTTACACTGATTTTGCCTTCATCCTCAAACGTTACTCTAATTCCTGTATGTACGGGAGTCATTCCGAAACTTTCATTCGACTGACTGCGATCATATGGTGGCACATAAATCTACCACGAGTCACTACTCTATTACGGCGCAAGATGATCTACTGCGAGGCGTATGTTGTCGGTCCTGACTCTCAACTCAGGTGAATGAAGGGCCCTTAATAATTAGACTAAGGTTTGGGGCTCCTTTTTGGTATGCTTATGATGAGGAACCAAGGAATAATATTGGTAATCATTGAGGCCTTTACATCAGCACATCAAGTGGCAGTACTCAAAAGGCACGTTTTGACGGGAACCTCATCTGGCGGTACTCAACCGGCACGCTTTTGTTGACATGGTCTCTGATTGTGATGTTAACGTCAATGCTTAATGAAAAAGTCTGCGTTGCTGGACTTCCACTGAGAATGGTAGAAGGATTTATTTATATACTTTCAAGCAGCCAAACACCCGGTAACATCAATCAAGAGGTTTGTCTTGCTGGTTCCGTTACAGAAAGGACTCAGGGAAATAACCAAAGCTCAACACAGTCAATCAACAAGATTGCCTTGTTGGGTCTTCTTGTAGTGACAGCAGGGGCTGCAACTAACTGTCGATAGACTGGCTTTGCCTTGCCTTGCTGTCGAGATCATACGGTCAATATTGGGGCTGGCTGGCTAGCAAGATTACAGCCAAACCTTGCGACTGAAGCACTTTCAAGAACCCCGGTGCCCAAAAGCATAAGCCCTTCATCCTGGACCCGAAACCCGAAGCTCTAGATCCTTACCCCTAAACCCTAAATCCTCAGCCCTAACTCTTCAACCCTATACACCTTAGATCTGCAACCCTCATCCCTCATTCCCAGACTTGCTGTGGATCCCGGCCTTTTTGCACCTCCGCACCTCCCCGGCGGTCCGCCGATGCTGGAACTTCACCTTCCCACATGCTGCAGGTAGGCAACTTAGCGCCTTTGGGGTTTGTAGGCATTCTATAGGGGTTACGGGGTGCAGGGTGTCTATAACTGTACAGGGTTTCAACATGTTTCTCGGATTTTCGGGTTTCTATCAGGGCGATTGGGTTTCTAGAAGAAGAGGTGATTTTGCTTCTATGAGAAATTGCTAAAGGCTGTAGCAGGGCAATGTGGATTTCAGGGTTTGAAGTACCGCGGAAACAACAAATGCTCCCAAAAGAGCACCCAGTCTCTAAACCCCAAACCCCTAAACCTTCACCGAAGACTCTAAACCCAAACCCTAAACCCTAAACCCTAAACCCTAAACCCTAAACCCTAAACCCCCAGTTATAACTCCAATCATGGTCATCCCGGCCCTCCCCCGGCGCCTCTTGAGGAATACGGCGTTGCGTGGCATCGGAGGATGGGGAAGGAGACCCACTGCCGGCCTCCAGCGTTTTTTTGTGGGAGCCTTGATAATTCGAATGCCTTAGTACATTATACCTTGAAATGAGAACTATGCTGGACTACTACTACTAATACTACTACTACTACTACTACTACTACTACTACTACTACTACTACTTACTGCTGCTACTACTAACTATTCCGACCCCTATAGCAACGAACACTTTCACTAGGGCGTCGGGATGCAGGACTCAGAACTTTCTGGAATTGTCTAGCCCTATGTTCTTTCTCATCTTTCCGATTGGCTAGTTTAGAAGGTAAGGCTGAAGGTTGTTTTAGCAGGTCAGGCTTAAGGTTGTTTTACTTCCTGTCTCAACGGCTTTCATGGAGCTTCAGATTCATATCTAAATCTAAATCGTGGAAGTTGCAATGGTAACTGCTACAGTGCTAAACTCGCAACATGGGCATCGGTACCCGGTATTGGCGATGCACGAAGCATCCAGCTGACAACTCGAGTGCTTCATTACGATTGCAGCTTGTGAAACATCCAGATTGCTAGCCGTTAGCCGTGTGCAGGAGTCTTCTTTTGATCATGACCATGGACATGACCAGGGACACGTTACAATGACGTTATAGTGTAAAGAAGGTAGATATAAGTGTCTTTGCTTTTTGCCTCTTCCTGGCAACCCTGCCAGGAACCACTATCATGTTTGCAGTTTGGCCTCGGCCATTGTCAGCTGCCGTTGCTTGTATTGCTGCTGGGCTGCTGGTTGTTTTGATGCTCGTACTCTGTGGCGGATCTTTCATCAAACAGACACAAAACCACCACAACGACCAAGCACCACCGCCACCACCAGCAGCAGCACCAGCACCACCACCATTTCTGAAATGCTGCCCACGATGCTCTCTGTGGAGAACTGCTCGGCGCAGCTGTCGACACACTGCCTGGCGGCACGGGAGCGACCAGAATCCACACAGCCACGGTTTAGGTTTCGAATTTGGGATTAAAAACTTAGGGTTTTAACGCAGAGACCGTAAAAGAAAAACACCAAGATCCTTTTGCCCAACAGGCCTCCTCAGCCCTCAATTCCACGCCCCTGCAGCCCTAACCTTCAACCCCGGACTCTCCAACCGGACTCTGCAACCTTCAGACTTGCGATGGGAGATGCTGGGAGCATAGCTAGAAGTAGCATATCTGACTCACCAAGTGGGCAAGTAAATCAGTTAGAGCCATGCGTCACTCATTTTCCAGCCGCAAGCGCATCGCTCTGAGCAAACAGACTGTGATCCCTACCTAAGTAAGGGTTGCGGCGTGGGGTTGGAGGCTCGAGAAATTCAGGGGTAAAAGGCTTATAGCGTTTCGGGTTTTAGGCGTGTTTGTGGCAGGGAGATGCGTCCGGTGCAAGGTTCGAGGTCTATTTCATAGCTCAAACAAACTACTACGCAGGTTGTATGAAGAGCTATACCAAGAAACAACCTACAGAAGGACGTCCTTCAGCCGAGTTTAGAGGCATATCCCTATATATATATATATAGATATAGAAAAGGCTTCGCGGAAGTGTATTGCGGGGGTAGCAGCACGAATTGCCGAGGCTGCAGGTGTAGCCACTGCGTATCTGTGGTAGACCGTCACGCCAAGAAGAACAATTACCTCCCGAAAGGCCTTAGATCCTAAACCCTCTCACCCCTAAAGCGCTCATGCAGCGCTTCAAGGAGCCCTGCATCGGGAGAGTATTAGCAGTGTCCACAAGATTGGGAATGTAGCAGCTGACCGCATCGGGTGTTACCGACAAACCGATCTTGGAGTGAATGCTTGACCAAGCGAGACAAAATGGGTTTAGGGTTCTAAATGCTTTACGACGAAGACTAAAGACAGATTGATCTTCGGGCACAACAACAAGACGAAGTCGCGGACGACAACGCTTTGCATCCCAAGTCGTGAAAGGATCCGATAAGATGCAAGATTGGAATTCCCACTCCTAGAACAGCAGGATCGTGTTCGCGTTCACATCCTGAACGCTCGACTTTACATTGGGCCCTCAACCACAGACCCTACATATCTTTCTTTCGAGCTTTGGGTTTAGGATGCATTTTCAGGTTCCCTCATCGCAGCTTCAGATGTTGGGTGCGCCCTCTCCCCTAAACCCCCATGTCATGCTCCGAGTCTGCTTTCTCTCAGTGGTGCTTCTTCTTCTTGCGCTTCTTGCTCCTGGCTTTCGAAGGTGCGCTAGGGAAGGGAGGTTGGAAAATGAGGGGTCGCTTACACCAGGATCCTGCCTTTTGGGATGTCAGTATGCATTTACTTGAAACTTCTGGGTCCGGCATGCGAGAGAGCTAGCCATGCCAGTTTCTGCAGGGCGTTGATACGTAGTATATTATAGCCTTTTGACTTTGTAGTATATATCCCGGTATACTGTAGTGTGTTATGGTATATGACAGTATATTGTAGGAGGTTGTAGTACGTTATACATTTTCTATCCAGGCAGTAAGCTGGGAAGGTCGCAGCATCGTTTAGGATTGAGGCTTCGGGTTTAGGGTTTGGGGTTTAGGTTTCCGTCAACACCCGGAAGCTTTCATTCCAGCCAGCACGCGTCAGCAGCATTCCAGCCAATCACATTCCAAAACTGACAATCTGGGGTGCCCCAAATTGACAATGAGGGCGCAAATTGACAATCTAGGGCCCCCTTTTTGGCAATCCCTAAAGCCCTAAACCCCAAACCCTAACCCAAACCACAACCTAAACTCTAAACCCTAACCCCAAAAAACCCTAAAATCCGAAACCCGTGACCGCAAAGCACTCCAAAGTCGCCCCCAACCGCTAGAACCCTCTTGGGGGTTTGGGGTTTAGGGTTTAAGGTTTATTTTAGAGCCGAATGGGGTTGAGGGTTTAAGGATGTTTAAGGGTTTGGTCTAGAAACCCTACGAGACGCTGGGAACCCTTGAGATTCCTGTACAACACCTGAACTAGAAAACCCTGTCAAAAAACCTAAAGATGCAAAAAGTTGATCCCTTTTTAGGGGAGTCCCTTCAAGGGGATCTATAGGGATTATAGGGGATCTATGAAGATTTATAGGGGATTTCTTGGGGATGTATGTCCTGTCGGAGGACTCCGAATCCTTGGACTTTCGCTTCCCCGACTTTTTGGCCTCATGCCGGCCTGCGCACAGAGAAACCGATGGTAGGGTTTTTGGGGGTTTAGGGTTTAGGGTTTAGGGTTTTAGGGTTTAGGGTTTAGGGTTCAGAAACCTATGGTAGGGTTTGGGGGCTTTTGGGTTTAGGGTTGGAGAGTAAGGGCTTTGGGCTTCACGCGTAAAGACGCAAGGGTTAGGGCTGAATGTAGGGGCCTTAACCAAATAATAGGAATAAGGTGAGGGGTATACTCTACTATCGTTATCATCAGGAACTGAACCACCCCAAAAAAATGCATAAGTGACAATTAAGGCGCCTGTATTAACGGGTTATGGGCTTCAGTGCTCGCTTTCTTGGTCGAGATGGCTTGCTTAGGCTTTTGGAAGATCCCTGCATGGATTCAGCTTAATCTAGGGGCCTTAATAATCAGAACAGGGTGCTGGGGCATCTTATACTATGATTACAATGAGGAACCCTAAGAATGGTTTCGGTACTTCTTTAGGTCCCTATATTAGGTCTTTTGGCCTTGAGCCTTAGCGCCAGGGTTAAGAAGTGAACTGCGGAGCCCCCACATCCGAACTCCTCAACCCGGTGCGTAATGCTCGAGCTCTCGAAAATCTCAGACTCTAGGGTTTGGGGTTTAGGGTTTAGGTAGGGTTTGTTGGCATGATTTCGTTTTCGTGACGTTGGGGTGTAGAATGTCTGAGCAACAAGAACGGCATGCTGAAGACTAGACACCCGAATGTCGAAGCCTGCAGCCCTCCATTCTAGCACCTTCCTTCGGCTTCGCATCTAGACTTTACCTTAGCCCCAACTAACCTAATTACCTCTTTCTATGGACTTTTGGTCAGGAAACCATACTGAGGAACCCTAGAGTCAATCCTAAACCCTTGCAGGATGACAGGGACCTTTCAGTGTTGTCATGAAAACGGTTTAGGTTTAGGGTTTAGGGGTTTAGGGTTCGAGGGTTTGGGGTTTAGGGTTTAGCAGTTTAGGGCTTAGGGTTTAGAGGTTTCGGGTTTAGGGGTTTAAGGGTTTAGGGCCGGAGCCCTTGTAGAACCCATAAGGGGTTCCATCAGAACCCTGACAGAGCCCTTTAAGGACTCCCCCGCCTGAGCTCGAAGAGCTCCGGGCGTCTTTTCGGGAGCGCTTCTTCCTGGCTTCGTTGCGGCTTCTAAAAAACATGGGCTTTATTTACAGGAATAGGATTTGGGGGCAGGCTCTCCTACAACTCTGATAAGGAGCCCCTAAATAGTAGAGTTATTGAGGCCTCTACATTTCAGCCCTTACAAAACTCTGAGGCCCGGGACGCCGTCCTAAAAGCCTGAAGCCCCAAAGATCCTGAACCCTAAAGTCCCTAACCAAGGAGCCCTACACCTGAAATGCCCTAAACCCTAAACCCTAAACCCTAAACCCTAAATCGCCCTAAAGCCGGATCCAGGACTGAAAGGATCAGGTTCGGACTTTTGGTCGTTGGGGGCTCTAAGACTCTAAGTGCCCTGGCAGCAGGGTCTCTGGGGCTCGGGGCTTCGGGGTTTTAGGCTTTGGGTTGCGGCTTAGTTCTCTGGGGTTTAGGGTTGTTTGGGGGTTTTTGGGGGGTTCAGGGTTTGTGAGGGTTTCGGGCTTGAGACGCTTGCTTGCTTTCTCAGGCTTTGGGTCCAAGGCTTCTGTGTGTCGCGCGGGGTATAGGGTTCAGGGTTTAGGGTTCAGGGAGTACGAGGCGCTTGGCGACGAGGTGCCAGGCTTTGCTCTTCTTTCGGATTACACGGGGCTGCTGGGTTTGTATGGGCCTTCTCCGGGCTTAGGGCTTAATTGCGGGGCTTGCGTGGCTAATGGCGGTTTCTGGTTCAGGTTGACCACAGTTTCGCCTTGAGATATGTTGCTGAATGTTGATCTTTTCTTGATTTGACGC